ATAAAAACATAATGTTAATGCAAATGTCAAATTTACATTACATTAACAGCAATTGAGATGCATGTATGTAATAGTTAGAACATCTATGGATAAATATGAATTTGAATCAGAATTAAAGCCAAAGTAAAGTTAAATGGCTAGGAGGTAGGAATTTTTGCATGTCTCTTCTACCTAAAAAGTCTTCCTCTCTTCCCTAATGATTTTTTGTGTACATTGTTGCTTGGATCTCCCTGCTTCTACTTCATTAATTCTGAGTTTCATCTACCTTACCAGTCATCAGACCACCAGTCATTACAGGGCTGCTCTGACATGAGTAAGCAAAGCCCTGCCTCTGCTAAGATGGCCGTCTCCATCCAGTGCAGAACAAGGCATGCTAAGTCAGTAATCGCAAAAAGGTCAGCTGCAAAAGGACAAGAAGTTGGAAATGCAATACATGCTTGCTATTTAGCTAACCCATAGTGCTATAGGAATCGAATGTTGAGTATTAATGCCTAACTGCAGTGATCTCTAAACAAATGTAAATGCTTTAAAATAAGATCTAGATGCAATGCCCCCCCACCCCCCATATCACCATCACCACTGCAGGGGGTAAAGGCACATTTCAGATAGGGGGAAATTACTAAGAAGCAATACTACCTCTAATTCCACAGGCTTCCTCTCTGCCGTACAGCCCACAAAGCGGGCTCTCTTCACTGTTCGTACAGTCACAGCATCTCTGTATGTGAAGCCGTGACTGTACAGTGAACATGTATAGTGCAGGACCACATAACAGGAGAAGAGGATAGTGCTGGCTGCTAGGGAATGAGGAATAAGATAAGTATTGCTAATTATTCTATTTCCCCTAGATGAAACAAGCATTTATCCATTGCAGTGTAGGGGCACTACATTTTCAGTGCTGACTGGAGTTCAGTTTTAAATATATATTTTTTTATATATATTTTTTATATATATATATAGATCTATATATATAGATCTATATAGATATATCAATATAGATATATCAATATAGAT